TATATATATATATATATATATATATATATATATATATATATATATATATATATGTGTGTGTGTGTGTATTTGTATAGAAAGATAATAGAAAGGGTATATAGTTTAGAGTTTAAGGTTTAGGGTTTAGGGTTTAGGGTTTATGGATTAGGGTTTAGGGTTTATGGATTAGGGTTTAGGGTTTAGGGTTTAGGTACCGTGTGGTTGTTCTCCTTCTTTCTCTGCTTCTTCTTCTGCTGCCGTTTGCATGCATTTCTTTATCTTTATATATTCTTCTCTCTTTGTTAGTACGTCGCGCACCTGTACATACACCCCAAAAAATAAATAAAATAAATTAAAATAAATAAAAATAAAAATAAATAAAAAGAAAAAGAAAAGGAGAAGGAAAAGGAAAAAGAAGAATAAATAAAAAGAAAAAAAAAGAAAAAGAAAAAGAAATGAAACACGTTCGCTCTTTTCTTCTATCTTCTTCTACTCACAAAGAAACAACACCTTTATATACACCCCACACACACTCATGCATGCATGCATGCATGCATGTGTCTATACACCCCACACACACTCATGCATGCATGCATGCATGCATGTGCCTATACACCCCACGCACACACACGCATGCATGCACGCATGCATGCATGCATGTGTCTATACACCCCACACACACACACACACGCATGCATGCATGCACGCATGCATGCATGCATGCATGCATGCATGCATGCATGCGTGTGTATGTACGTACGGGAATTCCTTTGTTTAGAATGTGTAGGATATCTCTATCTACAGCGGCGAGCTCTTCTTTATATTTTGTTGGTGGTGGTGGTGGGGTTGTTGTTGCTGCTGCTGCTGCTGCTGCTGCTGCTGTTCCTGCTGCTGCTGCTGCTGCTGTTCCTGCTGCTGCAGCAGAGCTTCGTTTGCTTCTTGCTGCTGCTGCTGCAGCAGCAGCAGCAGCAGCACGACGGGGGCGGGGGGCCCCCCCTTTATTATTATTTTTTATGTTTGGGGATGGTGTTTTGTCTGTTTCTGTGTTTTTATTTTTTATATTTTTTTCTTTTTTTTTATTTTCTTTTTCTTCTTTTTTTCTTTCTTGTTCTTCTTCTTCTTTTCTTTCTTTTTCTTCTTCTTTTCTTTCTTCTTCTTCTTTTCTTTCTATTTCTTTTATTTCTTTTTCTTTTTCTCGTATTTCTTCTTCTTCTCTCATCTCTATTTCTTTTTCTCTCCTTTCTTCTTCTTCTTTTTCTTTTCTTTCTTTTTCTTTTTCTTCTCTTTCTTCTTTTTCTTTTCTTTCTTCTTCTTTTTCTTTTCTTTCTTCTTCTCTTTCTTCTTTTTCTTTTTCTCGTATTTCTTCCTCTTCCCTCATCTCTATTTCTTTTTCTTTTCTTTCTTCTTCTTTTTCTTTTCTTTCTATTTCTCTTATTTCCTCCTCTTCTTTCATTTCTATTTCTATTTCTTTTCTTTCTTCTTCTTTTTCCTTTTCTCTCCTTTCTTTTTCTTTTGTTACTTCTTCTTTTTCTATTTCTTTTATTTCTTCTTCTTCTCTCATTTCTATTTCTATTTCTTTTTCTTTTCTTTCTTCTTCTTTTTCTTTTTGTTTTTCTATTTCTTTTATTTCTTTTTCTTTTTCTTTTTCATTTTCTTTTTCTTTAATTTCTTCTTCTTCTGCTCCTGGCGACAACAAAGAAA